TGACTTTTAACAAACTTGTCTTAAATTCGCCGTTGGTAATTTAAGATATTATTAGGAACCTAAGGTTCCAACTCCCTCAGGCAAAGTTGATCTCAAATTAATTTTATGTGTCCCTTTGATACGATAACTCTTCGCATGATTATGTTTTATAATCCTTGGCTTTGAAATGATTGGATTTGAGTGTTCCCGATGAAGGTAAATTTATAAAAGCGCATCGAAAGCACTAAATTAAAGTGGTTTTTTATCTTCATTTAATAGCACTGGGTGGTGAACTGTTAGTCCTTAGACGTGTCATTTACTCACCTGTGGATACCACAAAAACCTAAGTTATGTTAGAGTATTTATAATCTGTGTTGCTGACCTATCTCAACTTCGTATTTGATTTGACCATCCACTGAAGAGTTATTTAGACGAAACGCACTTCTGGTGCTACAACATTATAGGACTGATATCTTTGATGAGATTGAACCTTTTATATAAGTTTTTTTTTCATTGTAAAGATTCTCTGAAACTAACCGTATGCTAGTTTTATTCATGGGCAACATATTTGTGTAGTTTGGTAGTCGTCTTTTGTTTTTGTTTATTGTGTTTCATTCTTTTGATAGTTAACTGTGATCTGTATTTTTTTTTTATGAAACAGACTTTAGAAAATTCTCTAGAAAGGATGGAAAAAGCTAGCATTATCAAATAACTTTACGTTCGAAGATGTCCTTTCACTGAATATTTCAAAGTTTGATGATTAGTGATATCTCTGCTGATGCATAATTTGGCTTCAAACGTCGGTACTGGCTTGAACATAATTTTGGAAATCTGTTTTAATTAAGAAAGGCATCTCCCTTATACCTAATTCTGATTCCTTGTTCGGATGTGGTATCCCCGACCTCCCTTTACAAAAATACAATTGAAATTAATTGATCAACATAGTCATCAATAACAAAAGTTAAGAAATAATTCATTGGGGGCTTTAACTTATCGTTATTTTACCACGGGTTGGCCCTTAATGCTAAATAAAATACCACAAATGAGAGCGAGGGGTTAAAAATCAGCATAAAGGGCCAACCCGTGGTAAAATCAGTATAAATCTAAGCCCCCATGAATTATTTCTATTCTAATAGGACAAAGACATCAACTTTTTTGGATCGAAGCGCTCTATTTGAAGGGAAATGTATGTTGTTCCCTTAATTGAACACATTATTAATATTGACGTAAACTACGACCAAAATTGAATAAGTGATATTCTTTAACGATATACAATAACACACTAAGACAGATTTGGATTAATTTAATTGACAATCTCACTTATTTTTAAAGAAGATATGGACATCATACAAATTTTTACCATGGTCTGTTTATGTTTTAATGTTTTGACGACTTTCGGTTTCTTATTCGTGCATTTTCAAGTAAAATCCTTACAATCTAACGTCATCGTTCAATGACGTCAATTACACCATCTGACGTGAGATAAATCATTCATAAAAAGCATACGACGTACAATGGTACATTTGGAACAGCCCAAATAAATCAGCTGACATATATGAATATAATCGAATTTACCACGGGTGTGTACTCAAAGCGTTTGAAGAACATCATATAAGAAATGAAAATAACACTTTATATATCAAGAAAAGCGCAAAAGAACAAATTTTACTGTAGCAGATACTTCTTTCGAAAATTAATGTCTTTTCAATGAACCCTGAAACCGAATTGTTTGAAAATCCAAAACCTAATACACGCACAGAAAAGCTGATAAAAATACCAAAGGTTTAGCAAAATGAAACCACATCAACCCTTGTTCTCTCAAATAACTTCCTATTTATTCAACGGAAAATTTTAGAATAAAATGTTAAAAATCAAATCACAATTGACTCACTAACTACTGAGCTGATAATATACCATTAGTGACTAATAGTTAACCAGCAATGGTATCGAACCACTGCCAATATGTCAATCTAATTAAATAATTTGTATTGCACTAAATGCTTTTTTAATAGACTACTTAGCTTACATCATTTATGCTAATTTTAAGTATATTAGTTATAAGGTAGACTATCAAATACAAAATATATATATAAGTGTGAAATTTACACATTTTAATATCATAAATATAATTAAACATGAATTAAAAATTTCGTCCGTCCAAAGCGCCCTTCTGGATTTACCTTCATCAAAAACTCTCAACCCCATTTAAAACCAATGCTGTATAAAAACCTGAATATATGAGAAGCTATATGACCAAAAGGCATATACAAGGAATATCCAATTTCATCAAATGTCAAATTTGCTTGAGGGAGTTTGAATCTTAGTATCTAGATAATTTCTTAATTAATCAACGGAGAATTTTTAGAAAGTTTGTTATAGATCATTTCAATATCGCGAAACACTGTCTATTGAGCTCATTATTGAATTTCGAAAAATACTTTTGATAATTGGAAAATGGAGAGAAGATACAAAGCCGCAATGCAAAACAAATTTTCAATATGTCAATAAAAGATACAAGCTGTTATGGGGGAAAGAACGAAAAGTAAAACAACATTTAAAACATAAGATTGAATGACACGAGAGTACCAAAAACCAAGGCGGAATGGTAAGAAATGATATCCAGTGATGGTGCTTCATGACAGGACTAAATACGTTGACTAACAGCATTCAGAGACAACTGAAAAAGAAGACAAAAAAAGGAATACTGTCTAGATGGTGAGTTATACAAAAAGAAGACTTTCATATCTTACAAATCGATAGAAATTGTCTTAAATGGCGATGATAACAAGTGACAAAAAGACATAAGGGGACCAAGGAGACTATTAAAAGTCATAAGACAAAAAATAAAGTGATGAAAAAACAAACTCAGTTTACAAAACACTACAAAGAAAACTAAACACTAAAAAACAAAACAATCAAAGAGTTAGAGGTGATATTTCCCCCCGGAAGGTTAAGCAGATTCTGTTACACTTGTGGTACCTGTCATCATTCGTATTGTAAATCAAAAGTAGGTGATGTCATAATCGAGAAATACGACTACGACGAATGGAACATATATGACAATTGGAACATATTCGTGACAATGTGTGACACAGATAATTGATAACGGTCAATCAAATCATTATGGTGTCAGTAAAATGTTCGAAGGGATGACGTCATATTTATTAATAAAACCCTTGGTATCATAGCTTACTTGTAAGATGAAACCTTCTATCAGCGCAATTATGATAAGTACACAAACTCTTTAATATCGTATCAATATTATATTGGTTGATATAAACTCTAATTTGACTTTAACATCAAATAGAACAATGAAAACCTCTAATCTTTGAAATCATTTTAAAGAACGACATATAGCCGGGTCGTCGAGATGATCGACTTAACATCTTTCTAAAGTTCTAGCTATCATTTTTTTTGGTAAGTAGCGATATTAATCAGATCTGGATTCCAAACAATTCTAAAACTTTTCTGCAATATCTCCAATTACATTCAATACAAATTTGAGGAAAAAACTGTTGGTTTCTCTACGCTATACACTACTATTCTCCATACTCAATTGAAAAATCGAATGCAACGTCTGTAATGTTTTGGGTCATGAAAAAGCTTACTCAATTTACTCAATTGAATTGTTTCATATTTTTCATGTCGGGGCCTTTTATAGCCGACCATACGGAATGGATTTTTCTCATTGTTAAAGGCCGTACGGTTACCTATAATTGCTTACATCCACTTCATTTGAACTTTGGTGGATAGTTGTCTCATTGGCAATCATAACCAATCTCCTTATTTTTTATACTTTGTGAAGAGTGAAGAACACTGATTTCAAAAACAAATACACCGAGGATGAGATCATAATTCTGGTAATTTTGATAAACAACATATTTGATGAATTTGATGGACAGATATTTCAGCAGACTGTCGAAATTCTAATGCTTACTATTTGTGCACTCCTATTTACCGATTAGTATTTGTATTTATATGAAACAGAATTCATACAAACCTTCTTAAAGACAAAAAGAAAAAAAAAACATCTTGCACAGTTCTTTAATTTCTCTTTCAGATGTCCTGTCACTAAATTAAAAAAGTTAATGGCCAAATAAAGAACGAAGCTAAAAACATTGAGGACTTAAAATTCCGAAAGGTTGTGCCAAATATAGATTGGGTATCAATAACCTACATTTCAGTGAAAACTTGATTTTCATATATCCAGTGAATTTGCGATTACCGAAACTAGAAGGTCTGCTATATATTTGATATTTCCTTCAATATTGACACAAATGGAAATTAAAATCTATGACAAACGTAATGATTGCAACTTTGCAATTCTTAACTTCCGATTTGTAATCAGTAACATACTCTCTGCTCAATCATATGGCATTTACATCTCTTAATAAAATCGTTCCTCTCGTGGATTTTTTTTTTAATTTGACTTTATTAGTAGTGGTATGATCCGTACACAAAAAAAACTGCTCCAACAGAGTTATAAGGAATTACTGAAATCGACACTACGCGAGTTTTATGATCACCATCAAGAGTTAGTTGACCGATACCATATATCTGTGTCTCATCTCATTAGCGACATGTTTTCGCTGTCTTAGATCCTTAGATACCCGGAAAATTGTCTATTTTGTTATTTTACCGACTGTACATGTCCGGTGATATATGGATAGCAGGAGACACATACCTTGTCGAAGCACCCAATTTCTCCTTTTGGAGTTCATGCGATTTCCTCAGTTTTTAGCGTGTTACCATCATTTTTCTTCTTAATCGATTTATGATATATATAAACATGGTAATTTAACTGTTGTCTATATTAATAATATAGGATAGATCGAGTGGTGTTAACCGTTTGAATGGATGCAGTCCTTGTTTGAATTGGATGTAGGCGCACAGATGGCGACCGACTTAAACATGTCCTCAATAATCAATGTCAATACTGTTCAATTTACGAGACGTGAGATATCGTTCTATTTTCAGCTATATCATTTTTTATAAATCTGTAATATATTGATAAATTTACGTCATATTATAGACACAATCGCAGGTCGGTCTACAAAAGATAACCATTATGCCACAAATGTAAGATATCTTTAACTCTGTATTCCGACTCATTTTGATGGACTTTGAAACAAGGTAAGCAAGCAATTATTTAAGTGCCACAAAGTTTTGTCCTATTACATTTGCGTATATTCAAAGATTATAATTCTGGCATATTGATAAGACCATCTGTTAGAATTTTCATATCTCTTTTTACTCCTTCAATATATGATTTCATCATCTACTAGCAAAGGGTCGAAACCCCTGATAGTGAATGTTAGTCCACAAGAGTAGCTTCTGTTCAGTAGTCTTTGCTATTGTATTGATTGACATGATTTTTCTAATATTACCCGTAAATAGATTACAACATTAATAACTAACAAACTATGGTTCAACCGCCCTTAGGCAAAGTCGAATTTTGAAAAAGAAATTAGCTGTCTCTGCTTGTAGACTGGTAGTCCCTGAGTGTATCACCAGCCCAGGAGCTAGTACTTTAGTACTGGCATGCAAATACAGATATTGTTCTATTTAAATTTGCTGTATTAAAATGACGAAATAACTTTAAAATTAAGGAAGGAATCTCCCTAATGTATAGCTTTGTATCATTGTCGGGCTTGGCTATCTGGTTTGGTCCTTATGGTTGAATCCGCTCTTCAAAGTTTGTATTTAGTTTTGGAATTTCAATTTTTTCGTTTGAGCAACATTAAAGAGATATTACCAGTCAAAATACGCATCTGGTGCAGGAAATCAGTAACGTTAACGTTATTATTATCATTGGCCGTTACCTCTTTTGGAGGACTGTTAGTCCCCAAGAGTATCACAAAAAAAAAGCCCAGTAGGCAGTAATTTGGTATTTGTTAACAGCTCTTTAACGTTTGTATTAGTTTTGGTCTTTAATTTGTTGGATTAGAGCTTCACTGACGATGCATTTATTGTCGAAATGTGCATATGGTGCAGTAAAATTGGTACAGTTAATGTAATTAGGTAGCACTACACATTTAGGAAATAAGATTAGAATTGACACACAAACATGTTAATTTATCTTCTTTCTGGATTTCTGATAAAATAAGCTTATTGTTTGTGTCACACATGTGCATATGTATGTAATCTGAATCTTTCATAGATTTCATTTTCAATAGTAAAAATGGTGAAAAATATTTTTTTGTGTATCCATGGCTACATTCTGTATTTATTTGCCATAAAATATTGCACAAAGGTCCATGGTTATGTGACATGTTGCTTCAAAGTAGAATTTTAGTCCCTTCGAGTGATATTTTTTCTAAAACTAGTGACATATATCTATCAATTGATCAATTTTTGTGTGCTCTGCTAGCTTTGACTATTAAAATGATACCTTATTATTTTTAAATTGGTTCAGTAAAAATTATTTGAAGAAGTTAAGCAGTGGACGTTGAAACGCAGCAAAAACTAATTTAAAAAATAAGATAAAGAAAGCTTGGTCAATGTGTAAAACCTCCTGACTTTCTCAATTTTTCATTAAATTTCATACTTTTTCTATTGTTTCTGTCTTTCCGTCCTTCTGTCCGCCCGTCCGTCCGTCTGTCCGTCTGTCTTTTCGATAAAGACTCGTATGCCCTAATGGAACCACCCATGTATCTAAATAATATGCAAAAGGCTAAATGCAACCGAGACATTTCAAAGATCAGTCATTAATACTTTATTTGGATGCATTAATATTTATTTCAAATATTTGGCTTTGAGCGTTCCTGATAAAGGTTAATTCACAAAAGCGCTTCGGACGTATGAAATTTAAAAATTTTATCCGCTTTTTTCACAAACTGGCTTGGAACCATTTTTATCTTTAATCTGTATGTTTTCCTGTTTCTTTTTGTGGTACTTCTGTTACATGAAGCGAAGTTAAAACAAGTTTTTAATACTAAATTCAGCTACACATATACTTATTTATTTCAGTAAAATATGTAAGAACATATTTGATATTTAATATTTATTATGCATAAACTTTTAACCCCAATTTATAAACAATAGTAATCAACAAGTGTAACTTTGGACTTTTCCAATATCTATAAGTTATCTGTATACAATAAAAATTTATCAGATACACTTTGAAATTATACAATAAACAATTAAGATCTGCATTGAGGCAGTTGCAAATTGATACGTTTTAGATAATATGGCCTTCGGCTGTTTTCTGCTCTTTTGTCGGGTTGTTGTCTCTTTGACCCATGTTTTTATTCTCAATTTAAATGCATAGTTTAAGGTCTTTCTTGTCATAAAACTCACCGAGGGGTGTCATGATTGATCCAATGAAAAACCTAAACAATATGCATTATCTGACATATAGACTGTCAAGAAATATTATTGTCTGTAAAGATTTTCAGGAATTGTATCTTATTTTTCAGTTCACATTGTAGTGGGATATTCTTTTGTTTAGCGTTTCGGCATAAACACGCCATACGGCTCATTTTTAATGAATAAATAAAACTAGATATAAACGTTAGAAATTACTGTCCAGTTACAACATAAATGTTACAGTAATTGCATAAAGTAAGAAGCAAATGAATGGTTAAGATGTATGAAAAACATCAGGTCAATTTAAAACAACTTATCATATAAGCTATATAAAGGGGGTGCTATAGTTTTTTCTATTGTTTCACGACATTTTTAACACGGAAAAGCAGATTATTTTTTCGACAGTTTTTTACGAACTTTTAAGAATACATTTGTAATTGTTTTCTCTCTGATGCCTGGCAACACATTTTTTTCTTCAGGTCTGTCCCCTATAGAAAATAGTAATATTTTGTCTTTTAATAGAGTAAATGATATTTGTTTCAGAATAATAAACGGAGGAGAGGATTGTTCCTTCCTAAACTTTAAAAAAATGTTCAAGATAGAAAATTGTACAGTTAACCCCAAATTTGCAACAACACACGAATTCAAAGTTTAGGTACTCTGTAGTTTGCATTTTAGTCAGGGTAAATAATGACCTTACGGAGGTCATTATTTTAAGCCTGGAAGCACATTGGTACATACATTTTCCGGTGGTTAAACCTTGTTTTATAGTTAACTAAACCTCCCACTTGTATGACAGTCAGAAGTCAGAAAACTTGTACTTGTCTTATGTTATATCAATATTTGTTTCATTAATTAGTGAATTGCTTTAATAGTATTTCTCGGATCGCTTTTGTTAAATTTAATGTTCATCTTAGATGGATATGACTATTTTCTTTCGGTCTATTTAGTGATACGACTCCTGACATGTTTAAATATTTAAAAGCAAAAAGAAAGTGAAGAGAATTGGAGAAAAAAAGCAGCCATACACTTCACTTTCTTTTTGTTTTTGCTCTACCAAATCGTTACACGTTTTGGGCTTCGCTTACAATTCCTTTTTCCACTTGTATTCTTACTATCTTTCCAATTTTATAGTGATTAAGATTATAACACAATGTTGACTGCAAAATCCCTATTTTTGACGTTTTTACCTATTATATCTGTTTGTTTTGCTCACACTTTGTTGTCAATATAATGGAATTGTATGCGACTGACATACAAATTAGAGGTTTAGTTAGCTATAAAACTAGGTTTAATCCACCATTTTCTACATACGAAAATGCCTGTACCAAGTCAGGAATATGACAGTTGTTATCCATTCGTTTGATGTGTTTGAGCTTTTGATTTTGCCATTTAATTAGGGACTTTCCGTTTTGAATTTTCCTCGGAGTTCTGTATTTTGTTATCTTACTTTTTTCCATCTTATTGTTTTTTCCTGAAACCATGTTTTATCATATATTTAAAATAAAACTTTTGATATTCCCCAGCTTTATAGCCATTTACACCGCGGAACTAAACTGTATATGTGTAAATGCTGGTTCTCATTTGAATTTTTTACAAATTTTACAAGATTTGAAAACCAAAATCACCACTTAAATTTAACGAAACCTAAAGTAGGACTAACTTCTATACTACTTTTACTAATGTGTAAATATACACACAAATGACGATTTTCATGTAGTTATCCACACCATTCGTTTGTTAATTATTAAAGCTAAACAAAGTAATGTAATTTTCATGTGAAACTGTCATTATATAACTTCATGAATAAGAAATAGTATGAAATCAGAAACACCCACAAAGTCCAATAAGCATAAAATAACTAAATGTTATTTCATTTCAGAGATTTCAACAGTTAAGAAAAGATGGGTCAAAAGCAATCGACAGTCGTGTCGGATAATCCCGAAGTACAGAAAATTTACGAAATAGCAAAATCAGAGGGCCCAGCTGCACTTCAAAGATATCTAGATGTTACATTAAATAAATGGAAAACAGAGTCGGTTAAGTTTGGAATTATTGGCAAAACAAATGTAGGAAAGTCTACATTCATTAATTCTATTCGTGGTGTTACGGTGGGTAATAAAGGATATGCAGCAGTTGGACGAGGAAATACGACACAATCGCCAACATCTTACTACCATCCAGAAAATGACAACATTGAATTTGTTGACCTTCCAGGCGTAGGTACAACAAAATTTCCGAAACAAACATATATAGGAAATATGAAAGTAAGTGAATACGACTATTTTTTCATTTTCTTTGATACCGTATTGTGCGAAGATGATATATGGATAGCGAGTCAATTATTAAAATTAGGAAAATCGTTTTCTTTTGTTAGGTCAAAAATCGACAAAGACGTTAAACATGGATTGGAAAATAATGAGACAGAAGAGGAAGTATTGACACGGATTCGGGAGATTTTTAAGTCGACACTTGATGAGAACATAGAACTAAAAACATTTGCTGAAATTTTCCTCATTTCAAGTAAGACACCTTCAATTGGTGAAATGGATAAACTAAACAAACATATTCTTGATAGTCTGTCATCACTAAACCAGGAAAAATTTAGAGTTGTTGTCTTTTCTTTTGGCCCAATGTCGGAGGTAGTAATCGATGAAAAATACAAATCCCTGAAAAAACGTGCCATCGCTGTTACAGTTGGAACTTCCATTATATCAGGAATACCGTTGCCTTTTGTCGACCTTGCAATAAACATAGGAATTATTGTGGCGGAAATAAGACACTATATCAAAGTTTTTGGGCTATCCGAAAAACAGATGGAGTTATTACAAAACTTTGATTACAGTCAGCTGAAGTGCAAAGGTCTTTTATTTAAAAAGCCAACGCTCCAAGATATAACGTTCATCGTAAGACAACAGTATACTAAATTTCTTGCAACCTTTGCACTGGTGGCATTAGAAAGTGTGTTTGATGTTCTTGTTCCAATTGTAGGATCTGTCATTTCTTCTGCGACAACAGCTGGAATCGTGCACAAATTTCTAAACAACTATCTAGACGACTTACGACATGATGCAATTATTGTGTATAATCACGTTACACCAAAAAATTGAGACTCTTTATTTTGCTTTAAGACATTTTTTTTAAATAAACATCGGACAACATCAAACATATAAATATAATCTTACGATGAAAATAATTGTTTGATTTCACGAACGTTGTCCCAGTAGATAAAGCCCCAAAAAACATCGTCTTCGGGTGTAAATCACATTGCATTGAATAGAGAATGGAAATGAGGAGTGTGTCAAAGAGACAATAACCCGACCAAAGAGCAGACAACAGCCTTGTGCCACTAATGGGTACACTGTTTGTAAAATCTTAAATGCATAAGGTATTGACTATTCACTCGGATATTCAACATATACCCCACGACATTTACGAAGAAGGAAATCCTGGATGCTGTGAATGTACTTTCATTTGTGGGTATCAATTTTCGTGGTTCGAGCAAAAGTTACATGTTCGTGGGATCTTAAATTCATGGATTTTAGTTTTCTGAAAAAAAATTGAGAAAGCCAACAGAAACGAAGATTTAAAAAAAAAATGATATGTTGATTTGTGGGACTTTACAAATTAAGGTTTTTAATTTCACTTACTTGTTCGTCTAAGTTCGTTATTAAGAACATTCATCAATTTTTTAATAACATAATTGCTTTCAGAAATAAGCTTATTCATCTATGCTTACAAATTTTCGTGATTGACGGAAATTGCAAAGTAAACATTTTAAATGTTGTACACGTGTAATCAGAAATGATAACAGTAATTAAAAACCAATTGTGCAGAGAACAATTGAAGGTCTTTCCACATCGATTTTCTAAATAATTGGTAAGAAGCTACGTTCGGTTTAGTCAAAGTTACTTTTGGCGTCCAATCATATGTTTCTTCATACTGATTCAATGGATATATGGCTTCTATATACTTTGGCCTAAAATAAGGGAGATAATGTGCAACTTCCAGTCTCATATGATAGCTGTATTTACACTGATTCCAAAAATATATGGTTTATAGATATCTTTGCCTGTAAAAGGGGAGAAAATTGGCTACTTCCGGTCTAGAAAATGTCACTTCCGGTATTATATGATAGCATTATTCAAACTGATTCCAAAAATATATAATTGGATAGTTTGTTTATACGTATGCCTTTAATAAGGGAGATAATTTGCTTCTTTCGGTTGTATAATATCACTTTCGATTTCAAATGATAGGTTTATGTATGCCCATTAAAGAAATATATGGTTTCAAGGTTCCTTTCCATGAAATATGTGCAAAAAATACTACTTCGGGTTCAGTCAAAGTCACTACCAGTTAACATTTTTTCAAGGTCATATGTCACCAAACATTTTGCAAAAGACCTTATAGCTTAATTATGTACCAATCTGAAGTGATAATCAATTTACCTTAGAATAAAACTTTTCAGGGGCAATAACTCCTATAAGATGTCATTGGATTGTTTCAGACCAAATATATCATATCTTCATAACAATAAAGCAAACATTTTGCACTAGTTCTTTTATATATTACTTTGAAAGTGTCAGAGAAAATGCAAAACCAAGCAAAAGTCAAAGTTGAGAACATAACCTTGACCTTTGACTTTGACCACATTTTCTAAGTTAGGACACAAGGACCTCAAATAAAAAGACGCTAGATTTATACGGCTTACGGTTTATGAGTTACAATTCATAACGACAAATTTATTTGGTAAAGGAAGATAACTCCAATAAGATTTCACCGAATCGCTTCGATCCAAATAGCCAAAAATGTCGGAGGATGTAACGAACAAATATGAAAAAGAATTTTGTCGTTATCTTTTTTGGTTACAAAGGAGATACACTCACAAAAAAAAACAGTGTTTGGGAAGATAACTCTTACAATAAAAAAATCTTCGGCTTAACAAGATGAGTTTTAAAAGCGCAATACATGTTTGATATAAAGACCTAATAATCAGAAGAAATACAATAGGTCTTTCCACAGATAAGTGGAAAGACCTAATTAACCCGATATCGAATAATCAACAGATTAACGATCATTAAAGGTGTTAATTGGGTCATACACATATCACTTAAAGAAAACGATTATATAAAAAATGCCACAAATGTACTTTGAATTGTAGAAATAATTCTTATGGAATAAAAAAGCAAGCCCAATATGAAATTAATATTTCTTCGTATGAAAATCGTGAAGAGCTAAAAGGAACACTTCGTCATCGCATATCATCACCGTTATCGATCATTACTATTTTTTAAGTAGAACTAAAAGGCTACATGTCGTACAGTTTAGGTTTTTTAAAGATTAAATGGGTAAAATCGTGTTTGAAGTTGAATATATAGTTCATAGTGCGTTTCCAGATATTCGATGTATTCTCTAGTTATATGCCCGTATCGAAGTAGTTACACCTACATGGGAATCTTTCCATATCTTGATTTGTACAACAGTTGTTATATTTCGTTGGGCACTTAAATTTGTGAATAAAGCCATCCATGGAAAACCACGAAAATTGGTACCCCACGAGTAAAAGTACTTTCACAGTAATCATAGTACTATGTTCCTTTGGAATTTCAACCAAAGATGAAGAACTGGATCTTCCTTCACTGTATTTGATATCTAAATTACATAAGTGTCCTTGCAAACAAGATATACTCCTGGGTCTTCCAAGTGCTCCACGAACCTCTTTCTAAATTATCAACATCAAAGCCGGCTGTCAAAGTTATTGTGAAACTACCTATTCTAGAGGCGGCGTGATTCAGATGTGGATACTGAAAGTTCCATACATCTGTTAGAGTACATACAATCTAGACTCTTTCATCTTGCAATCGTTTTTAACCATATGACTTTTCTACCCTTTGTACAAGTATTCCCCATTCCAAACTAAAAGACAATTTGAAAAAAATGATTCTCCTTTGTTTCATAAAAAAAAAGGCCACAGCAGATACAAGTATCTTGTCTTTGGGATTGATATATCGTACTTTGTAAAAAAATCACTGTAATTCAACAATAAGTTCTCGGAACCTGAAATCATCTGTATGCTTGATATCTAGATTGACAACATATTTTTTTCATTTGGAGGACGTGTTTTTTATTAAAAATAATCGCCATTCCCATGGGAACCAACTGTGTTCCACTTCTTGCCGACTTATTCCTGTATTCATATATAAGTTTCTCAGGAAGAACGAAAATAAGTTAGCATTATCCTTTAACTTCCCTTTCCGTTAAACAGTTGATGTACTCTCACTAAATTATTCATAGTTTGGTGACTATGTTGAACATATCTATCCCATCGAACCTGAAATTAAGGGTATAACAGATAGAGTTAAGTCTGCCTTATATCTTGAATAACATCTAGAAATTGACATGAGGGTTGATTGAGGACAAAAATGTCCATCAAGAGAAATGAATTCAGCTTCCTATTTTCAATTTCTATGTAGGAACATTCCAGAAGCACCTGTATATAGACAATAAATCTCCAAGTTGATACGATATTCGAGCGCTTGCATTGATTTCCTTGATAGAGGGTTGCAGCTATTAAACCAAGAGTTCCAAGTGAAGTTGTAATCATCCTTTCGAAATTTTACGGACCATTATGGAAAATCTGTTTCACAGAAGATGACGGATATGTTCCAATTGCTGTAACCACAATTCCCTGTTCCTTTCCCGAATATGACCTACCTAATTAGACTTATCACCGGGTTATTACTTACACTAGGTCAAGACAACATGTGGATTAGGATCTGCGTACCCTTCCGGAACACCTGGGATCACCCCCCAGTTTTTGGTAATTAATAGAGCCTTACTATGTAAAGTTTTTTCAATAGAAACATAATATGGAAACATCTTCTAATAATGTTACTCTGACTAAATGCCGACAAACACAAATTATCAATGGGGCACTCTAATTGCATATTGTTCAAGCATAAAACTTAATGGTGAGACGCATTGTCCACTCAGTTTCAAACACAAATACAAGATTCTCAATTTAAGCGTAATCTATTGATATTCTCAATGATTATCAACAAAACTGTATTGCACGAAGGCACAAATTGTTTATATCTAACATTAAAAAGTCCTTCCCTATAATCCAAAAACGAAGGTATTCAGTTTGCACTCGTAACTGTGTTTTGCTCATGGTTTAAGGCTGTACGACGACTAAAGCCATCGAATAGAATATAAAATATTCTTCTTCTGTTTGTTTTTGTTTTTACCAATAAGAAATAAACTTAAACAGGTATTTCCATCTTATCCAATCTATCAGTCTGAAAAATTACTGACGAAAACATATTCAATCACAAAGGTAATTTCAAGACATGTTATCTGTGAAAAAACTAATTAGTGTTCAGAGACATTTTACCAGTTTTGTCAATTTAAGGAGATGAGATATGACTGCAAATGAAACAACTATCCAACACAGTTAAAAATGGAAATTGATGTTAAGCATCTTAAGGATACCTTACGGCCTTCAACAATGAGCAAAACCGTATAATCAGCTGTAATAGGCCCTGACATGACGAAAAGAGCATCAATTCAAACTAACGGAAAACAAATATGATAAACAGCAACCAACTACAACCAATGAATTACCGCCTCGTGTACTGAATAAGCACATATAGGATGTGGTAGGTGTTAAACATTAACCTCCCTAACCTGGAACAGTGAACAACATAAAAAGAAACTGTAAAATCATTTAGAAAGGACTTGACTCATCAGATTGGCATGAAGGACATAAGTTAAGGCAAAAATATTTTGACCGATGTTCAAATCTCGTAAATTGATTAAACAGTGACAAAATCAAGGCAACAAACAAAATCTGTTGGTATTGCATGAACATAATATGAAGCGAGACCGGGTACGTCGACATGGTAAGCGTTTCCTGCTATGCATGCATCATCCGCCATGCGAATTCAAACTACTCAGTCAAAATGTCACAATCGGGAATTGGAAACAAACGGTTAAATTATAGACGAGACAACTTTACTGGATTCATATAAAGATTGAATACCGCAAAAACATGTCGCTAGTGAGTTGAGACACACATATCGTATCGTCTAACCAATTCGTTATTGTAACCGTAAACGTATGTAATGTCGATTTCAGTCGTTC